GGTCTGTGGGAGTCTTGCTGAGTCCCTGCAGTCCCAGGGGGGCATGCTCACTTGCTCGTTCTCTGGAACAGCATGGCACAGTCCTATTAGCACACATAAAGAGGAAGAACACACAGCTGCCAGAGGGAAAAAACTCAGATTTCAAGTGTCGTCTCCAAAATTTGAAGCAGTGTTAAATATTCTCAACCAAAAGGATGCAAGAATTATTTTAACTTGAGGGAACCTTTTATTTTCCCCTCATTTCGTCCTTTTAATCAGCTGAATAATTTGAGGTGAAACTTTCTGGATGTAGACAACGATAGACTAGTCTGTGATTTATCAAACAAGTGACTTCTGGTTTCTAAATAATGAATATCATTGTATTACCTGATGCCATTTTTCCCTTGTTTTTCTTTTTCTATGCTTTAAATTTCATGAAATTCCTGCTTAGATAGCTGTCCTCTCTGAAAATTTCCCTTTATTGTGAGAAATGGATGTTTATGACCGTTGGTTTTGGGTTGAGAGAGGAACATGGTGAATCCAGTGGTTGCATGTACTTCTCTGTATCATTACAAACTCAGTAAACCTGCCAAGAAGAATACAGGAGAATGGAAAGTGGAGAAGTTAGGACATATTTCCTAGGCACCTGACAATGTTCTCTGTGTTTTTGTGCCTGAATGTGGGGTTTTCTGTTCATATTTTTAAGTGTCCAAAGTTGCAACATTTACTCATACAGTTTGCATAGCTGGTTTTGATGGTTTCTCTGGTCAGCATTCATTATCTAGTTGAGTTCATTGCTGAAAGGAGGAGTCCTTTTGTTGTTGATCTTTAAATCTTTTGCAAGTGGCAAATAAATGTTTTACAAGGGTGGAATGCTATTTTGATAGTTCTGTCTTGATAAGATGGAGTTGTTTGCATTTGAGGATATTTCTGGTTTTTAAATACTGGCAAGAAAATATAGAGATTATAATAAATTTCACAAAATAAGTTCATTTCCTTCATAACAATGAATAGCCTATGCCTTTTTAAATGGATGTTGATCTGCAGCTCCCCTCCCTTTAAATCACATTTTTGCTCAATACTTCCAAGATTAATGTAGCTAACAGCAAATTATTGAAAATTGGTGTAGTCAACAGAAATGCCTGTACATTTAGAACAATTCTTGTGAGCAAAGATTTACGGGATCAGTTCATATGGTTTGTACTGTTTCCTCAAAAGACATTTTCTATCCTCTGTTACTTTCGGTCAGAAAAGATGTTTGAAGCAGCTATAGAATGTAAATATATCAACTTGTGACTTGCATTGGCATCAGTCTGCATCTAATTTATTAGAAAACTGCAAACTTGTATTTAAATATAGGGAATATATAGGAAGAAAAAAATAGGGAAGATACACCCAGTGATCCCACCAGATATTTGCATGTTAAAATATAAAAACAGAAAATTCAAGCTATTCAACTGCTGTGTTCCGGTTGTCTTAGTTATATGTTTGCTTTCATTTGTCTTACAGAAATCCTGTCTATTATGTGACTTAGATGTTGTGGATCTAAGTGAAAGTAAGAAGAGAACCTGCTGTGCATTGTGAAATATCATCTGTTATTCCATTTTCTCTTCAGAAAATATTAATTAATGCCAAGGATGTTAAAAGTGAGCCTGTAGTCCCAAAACACAGTATCTCGGCATCCTTTGTAGTACACAAACTTGACTGCCAAATGTTTTGACATTTTATATCCTATTTTCAGAATTTTAAAGTGAAGTTAAAGTTGCATGACTTTTGAATATCACGGGAGGACAACATTTGCATACAAATGTTTGCACAAATTAAATCTAAGTGTATTAATCTTTTCTTATTAAAAAATTTTACCTTAACATTGTTGTGTTGTTTATACCAGACTTGTCATGAACATTAACATTATCACACAGGCAAGGTTCTGATATATGAAATCACTTATGCCATCCCCAAGATAAAATTTCTTTAAAAAGCTGATATTTACTAATTCACTAAGTAGTCCCCTAACATAACGTTCTGGGAATTTTTGGCTTTGTTTCTTTTATGTCCATTTTAGAAATGTGTTACTTGAATACCCTTGAACAAGGAGGTTGCAGAGGTGAAGACTGAGAGGAAAGAAGAAATTATGTACAATATCTGTGCGTTACTGAGCCTTCTTTAGAAAGGAGAGAACATGGAAAATTGTAGTCCAGTAGTCATCTCTTACTGATAAAAAGTTGTTTTATAAAATAATTCAAACAGGTTTTACTAGCATACCTGCATTTTCAAGTGTTCTATTAGTTTGTTCTGTTTGTCGTAAGTGATCACAGTATTAAAAAGATATGCAGTGCGCATTTCATGTTTTTAGGTATTAAATGTTTTTTTTTTTCCTCGGAGTAGAAATATATCAAGTATCTAAGTCTGCTCATTGAATCTCTTTTGTACTTGTATATAATCAGCCGCAGTGGAGGATATCAGATTTTAGTTAAATTTAATGAGGGCAGAATCAGGATGTCAGCTTATTTTTCTTTAACTAAAAGCAAACCCAACACAATCCAAACCTGCAGGACACCTACAAAGCAAATGCAAGTTGTGAAATGTGAAGAATTGCTGTGATTATATTGTCGTCGTCGTCGTCGTCTTCTTCTTCTCATTGGTCTAGGAGATGTGGTTCTTCCTGATTATTAAGCTGTTACACCACCATTTCTGAATGAATAAAAACTACTGTGCAAAATCCTGTTCGGAGCTACCCCAACACATCCAGAGTAGCTCCACTGGCTTATTGTTCTGGAACGTTACTACTCTCCTGCAATGTTTCTGACTCTTTTGAGGGCTGCTTTCAAATTATACGTAAAATTAATTTTGCTATCGAGACACTGAGGTCGGTTGGAAAGCACTTTCTGAAGCACATGGGACCTAATACGCCTGAGCATACAGGCAGGCTACTGTGCGGTAGGCAACTTAGTATGCTTGCAGGTGTGTGACTCAGGAAGGGGCTGCACACTTACCCGCTGCTTCTGAGACTACTGTCCATGAGTAGCGTAGACACAGTTACTGAAGCCAGCATTTAGATCAGAATCTGAACATGAAGAACAAAGGATAATCCCTGCCTTAGATAAAACTGTAGCAAATGAAGAAAATAGTGCCAGAGGAGATGTTGAGAGGCTGTCTAGTTTGTTCTTTTATCCTAGTCCTAGATCAGCCAAACATGCTCAGTTGTAGGAAGGTGTTTGTTTAAAGACCTGCAGTGATGGAGATTCCACTGTCTGAGTAACTTTACTGAGTAATCCTTACTTAACTGGTTTGGCAAGTAAGAAGTTTTCCTAATACCTAAAGTAACTGCTACACATGGAAAGCAGGTTTTCTTTCTTCCTCATGTTTGTGAATACCACGGTCTGGCACCGTCTCCTCTTTAGACCAAAGAATTCCAGTCCCTCCTACCATTCCTTAGAGTCTGGGTTTTCTAAATCCTTTGCTGTTTTTGTTGCTGTCCTGATATTTTTGAGTTGGTCCTCAACTATCCTGTAGTACAGAGCTCAAATCTGAACACCATATTCCAGTTTAAATAATAAGGGCTGGATAGATTTAAATGATTTCTTCATTATCTTGATGCTCCTATTTATATATTCAGCAACTGCGTAAGATAACCTGATGTTGCTAACTGTTCACTTTGTGATCCATGATGCCTCTTTTCTAAAAACTGCTTTTTCATCCTGATACTTATTTGTGCCATTGATTATTCCTTCATACGTGTAGAATTTTGAATTTCTCGTTATTCAGTTGCCTTTCATTTTCTCCAGTTTGCCAAGATCTTTCTGAATCATAATGCTGTACTCCAGCATAGTTGGAGCCCCTTCCTGTAGATGTGGTCTTCAAATGCGAATAAGTATACTCTATTTAGTCATCCAAGATGTTGATAAAAATACTGAAGAGTTCCGGACCCAAGACAGATCTCAGTGGAATCCCATTTGATACGTTCTTCCAGCTTGAGAATATAAATTATTTTGAAATAATTTTGCACTTGTTTTATATACTTCTCTAGACCATATTATTTTCAGGTAAGAGCACAGTATATGAAACCCTATGATCTTCATTCTTTCTGCCCTCTCCACAAAGCCCGCTACCTCCTCATAGACTGATCTCACATTGTTTGGTATTGACAGACATTGTTTGGTATTGACAGAGGAGTCTGTCACTTCTCACTGTTACTTCTCTTGTCTCTGCTTTCTAGATGGTTACAAATGGTTGGATTACCTGTTCAGATCTTTCTGAGGAGTGGAAATTAAGCTAATCAGTCTGCAGCGCTCTCTCGTCCTTTCTACCCTTTAAGAGAGATGCAATGGTTGCCTTCTCCAATTTTCTGAACCCTCACACATCCTCTTTTGATTCTTGGAGATAGTCAGTAGCAGCTCTAATGTTGCTTGAAGCAGTTTTTTGAGTACCTAAGGGATTTCATCGGGTCCACTCTGCTCAAAAATCTTCATCTAAGTATTTTCCAATCTATTTCTTCATTATTCTAGCCTAAACTCTTAGCCCTTTGTCAGTAGTGCTAGTGGTTGAATCACATCTGCCTTCTTAAATTGAAAACTGAGATTAAAAAAGACATTTGGGATACTGCTGTCTGGGCATCATCAGTGAATAGATTCCCTCCAGAGAATAACATTAACTTTTTCCTTGGTCTTCTCACTGTGCATTTTTCCAACATCCTTGTTATCTTTTAATTCCAGTTATCTAACATTTTGAGACTTGATCTTTCTGGTGTTGTCCATACATGTTCTGCATATTTATACATATTGACACTTTAGTAATTTGACCTACTTTCTGCTTTGTTTCAGGTCACTGAAAATCTTCCAATTCAGCCAAGTTAGTTTGTTATTTCACTTCCTCTCCTTCCTCTGCAATTTTGCCTTCAGCAGTGGATCTTTAAGGAACTTGAAGCTGTCTTGAACTCACAGTTCTCTGAGTTTAGGTCTGCGTTCAGTTCTTTGTTTCTGTTTTGCTGGGGTTTTTTTCCTCCTCTTCTTAAGACTGAAATTCACAATGAAAATAAACATATAAAAGATGGTCAGATTGATCTGTAATTTTAATTTCTCTATAATTAATCGGATTTTCAAACTATGGAATTCCTTCTGTATGTTATTCATTCTCACAACGTTTTCTATTTCTTGTGGCTTAGATGCTGTCCAGTCACTGGCCTGCCCTAGGGAGGTACAAATTATTTAGGTTCCTAACCACAGCGAAGGTTGGCAGGACCCTACCCCTTCTCTGTTTAACACTCCAGGTAGCATTATTCCTCTCCTCTTTGCATTTTTGTTCTCCTGCACTGAAGCAACTTCTGCCTTTTTCTGAGCACAAGCATTGGGAGTATTCCTGGTCTGTGTCCACAGAGGTGTGCCACCACAGAAGAACTACTCTGATTAGACAGGTCAAAAAAACCCCTACCAAACGGCTACACAGTGTGTTTGGAGGCATTTACCCAATTAGAAAAAGGGTTGTAAGTTGAGAGCGTTATCTTCATTTACTTCTGAATTGTCTCTTAAGCTGGCTGGATGATAGCGTCACACAAATTTCTACTGAAGGAATTTTTAGAAGAAATAATGGTTAAATGAGGGGTTTGACTGGAAAAAAAAAGGATGCCTCTTACAATGAGAGAGAAGATAAAAGGTAAATGTACATACCAGAACGGCAGGTCTCTTTACAGTACCTTGTAGGAGCAAAGATTGCTTGGATTTTACCAATAAGACAGGAATAGTGTTCTCTTTCAAAACATGAGATACGCAGACATCAACTATACCAAATATGCTGTTCTCTTTCCACTTTCCCCCTCACCGCCAAGAAAGGTTTAAGATCCAGTTCTGAAATGATTGCTGCAGCTCCTCTTATTTTAAGTGGACTTGTGAACATTTACTTATCTGAAAATCAGGTCTGCTGTAAATGCAAATCACATACAGGAAGAAGGAGGGTATTTCTTTTTTTCTGTAAAGAATTTATTTTAAAGAAAAACTGTCTGAAATGGCTCCACAGCTAACATGTTAAATTTACTGTATAAGGCACATAATTTTATTTGGTGTATGCATATTAAACTGTAAAGCAAGTTACCAGACTAAAAAAACAGTTTCTTTTGAACAGCTCCATTTCAAATGCTACCATAGATATGAATGGATGATGACCTGAAACACTTTAAAAATCTTTTTACTGGCAATAGAATAAATATATTAGAGATTTTATAGCCTGCTCTATAACTGCATTGCTAAACAAACATGAAATGTTGTCAATTCAAAATGCACTTGAGAATAATTTCAGGAATTATTCCGAGTCCCCCTGCCACTGCTTACTTTCATGACTACCATTTCTTTTAGATACAAAAAGACTGTCTCTGAATGCTGTCTGAAAGACACATACACAAGAACTAAGGGCTCCTGAAAAAATGAGGCCCTGATCCTGAAATGGATCTGCTAGCACTCATTTCTGTAAAGGTTTATTGACTTCATTAACTTAATTAGTATTTTGCAGCAGTGTAGGAGACTTGGTAAGAGATCACACTAAAGGTCTGAGGCACTGCTAAACATCAGGGAAATGATTGTATCTAAAGTGTTAATTATACATAAGGTGCAGTTAAAACAAGGAAGAGGCACAGTTTCATATGTGCTTGTGATTTGAATGCTGTACATGTAATATTAGAATATATTTCAAGAAGGTTCAGCTACAGTATAATTAGGGCATGTAACAAGGTCACTCTAAGAGCTCTAGTGAAACAGTTAAATGCTAATAAGCTTTATGATGTTAGTTTGCCTGAAAATAACTAAATGAAATTTAGGCTGTGTCGAGAATTTACATTTAAAAAAATGCATTGTGTTCAAATAGAATGGGAAAGAGCATGTTAGGTTTCTACAATTAGAAAGCAAACAAACAAGAAAGGCTTAAAAACTGTATGACATATAAAACTGCCTGAAGAAGGAGAAATTAATCTTTAAAAAAAAATTAGCAATTGCTATTTCAGGTGTGAAAGATACATTTCTTCCCAGAAAGCAGAACTGCATGATGTTTGAGAGAAGCATATGCTGTGAGACTGTATCTATCCTGGAATTAACGCTGGCTAAAATCATGTTTAAAAGCAATTCTTCAAGCAATTCTTCAAGTCCTGGTGAATCCCACTGCATCCAGTAACCTTGTCAAACCTGAAAAAGTTAAAACCATTATTTTGATTTCCATATTTCACATAATTATGCTTTTAGCTATTATATCACTTTGCACTTCAATAGCTCCATTCACTGAAGCTGTTCAAAGCATTTTGCAGACTTTGTAAAAGGGATGCAAGTTACAAAAAAAAATCCACAATCCGTATGGATATTTTTAATGCTGTTATGATAACTAGGATCTAGTAGCACCATAACTGAATTGAGAGAATTATGGTTTGTCATAATTAGTGCTGGGAAATCCCAGTGCCTTGTCAAGGTGGGGTTCCAACCAACCCAGATCCATCACGGTGGAGAGCATGCGTGCAGCACCACCTTCTCTTTGCCATGGAGCAGAACAAGCGCGTATCTGTCTTGGCCCTCCATGTGCCTGTGGTGCTGTTGGCACCAGCAGTGAACAAAGACACTCAGCAGGGCTGGCTCCTTTAGAAAGCACGTGAGGAAGCAGGAAGGGCAGGAGAGCTATTTGCACTGCAACTCTTGCGAGCTCTCGCCCAGCAATCGCCAACAGCCTCAAAGACAGATACCGCAGAAGACAGATCTTGGAGAGAGAGCCTAGTTGTGGATTTTTTCAGTCCTTTTATAAATCACTGGAAAGTACTTTTATAACGTTCCTAGTCAATCAGACAGCCTTAAGCATAGCAGAGCTTACTGTAATCAAATTTTCAGTTTTGATACAAAAGTGAATTGAAGTACACTCAGCATACCACCCGGGAGTAAGTTTTCCCTGTTGAAGCTCCCCCAGTTTCTAGTCTAGCAATCTGGAGATGTTACACCTACCATAGGAAAAAAAAACCCCACAAGATTACAAGAAAAAAAATATGAAGCTTATATAAGGCTTCATTACATAAACCATTCCGAAAAGAGAACTAGTGGTTGATTTAAAATTTTCCTGTGGCCGGAAGATCACAAAACACCCACCCGGTGTATTTAATACTTGCATGTGCACTAACAACAAGTCAAAGATCTTGCTCTAACTTCTGTGTGTTACTCTTCATACTTTAAATATTCATTTGTGGCTCACAGCTGAAAACTAAAACAAGAGATACATGATCAAAGTTGTCATTTAACTGGATTATTCTTAACGTAGTATGAATTTCACAGGCAAATTACCTACGGTGAATAGTGAGAAGACTTAATGCAACATACTTGCTCAAAACCGCTTTGATAAATGAAGTGAAACATGTTATCTACTTACTGTACGTTTAAATGTGTGTACAGATGGATCTCCCTGTCCTCTTGCTTCCTTTTGCTTATTTTACAGGGGAGCGGCACATGTAAATCCATGTGCTCGAAGAGACGCCAGAACCTTTCTAAGTTGCACGCCAAGCACGTTAAGGGCAATTAAATGATGCATATCGCCTCACTTTGTGCAGTGCTACGGCCTCCCTCGCCGTAGCCTCCCTTTCCCAACCCCAGTCCTGGGAACTGGCTGCAGGGAGAGCACTCCGATCGTCTTTAAAGGTCACAGCCTGGCTCCAAGGCGTAGCTTGATCTTCCCCGCCGCCCGCACCCCCTCACGACCGCCGGGAGGGGGGGG